ACATCACTTTTTTAAATTTGGACTCCAGCCCCCGACTAGGCGAAAAAGATTTCGGAAAAAAAAAAAAAAAAAAAAAAAAATCGTAAAAAGGAAGGGAAATAAATTTTAAAAAATTAAAATGAGATGACAGAATTGCCACACTGTTATGATGCCATGTCAGTATCAACAGCTGGTCTGTCAGCTTTTAATATAAAAGACGACGACCCATCGAATGGAAAACCACTTCTCACCTGCAGGCTTTCTCTTGTCACTAGACATGGGCCAACATTTAGATTAGTACTGTAAAGAAATCCTAAATAAAAATAATATGGTATTTAAACTAACTGAATAATGTGACCTAATGTACTGCTGAAAAAGAAAAACAATTATTACTTAACCTACTGACTGTATCCTTTTTTTATTATTATTATTTTGATCTAAAGCCACAAAATAAAACATAGTAGCAGTTAAGGTAGAAGTACAAGCTAATATCTAGCTAATTGGTCAAGCTATTCAGGAAAAGAAATAAGTGCAATCCTTTTCTTTCAGCCAGTTAACTAGCAGTGTGCAGCCTCAGGTAGGGGTGAGGTGAAAGGTGTGCTTACACACTGCTCTGAGAAAACTTACAGCCTGCCAGCTTTTTTTTTCCATTAAAGTGGCACTGCCTTATTGTTGTAGTTGCTCTTTCCTTAAATAACACAACTCCTTGTGTCATTTGTGATGGGAAATCTTTACAAACTACCAAAATAGCCTTTCTTTTAAGCAAGAGAGGAAAACAATGCCATGCTTTAGACACTGAACAGGCAGAAGGCTATTCTCGCTCACACTGGCACTTTCTGTGGTTTTAAAACGGTACAATCCTTAAGCGCAAAAGGAGTCTGTAATTTTTTTCCCCCAAATACTTCCAAATAACAGAATTAGCTTCTTTTTTTTTTTTTTTTACAGGTTAGAAGAAAAAAAAATAAATCCAAGAGCCATTTTTCAGCCAGCTGATTAGCAGTGTGCATAATCCACACAACTGGAGAAAATCTCATTTTAAAAACTTCACACCACAGAGAAGGTGTGTCGGCAAACTGAAGTGTTTTTTTTTTTTTGCTTTTGACACTGGAATTGTTTAAAGCCTTTCTGGTGCTAACTGGCCCATGCCTAGTTGTGACAAGAAAAACTGGATTGTTAACAGAAACTATGAATCCATAAAGTCCAGAACACAAAATATGGTCAACTAGTTTGTTGGTTCTGCAGAACATGGCAGCATTTAGGGGCTGAGTTTTTTTTTTGTTGTTTCTTTTTTATGGTTTTAGAGACCTTCTGCATGATCAGACTTCTGGATTACGCTTGCAATGATTGGCTGTCATGTGCTTCGTTTTGTCGCTGCTCGCCCGGTTTGTGAACAGAGTAGTAACAGTGAGGCTAAAACTATTTCACTTCAGCTTTCTTAGTTCATCTGGGCCATCTGACAGCTGGATCTGTGACCACACCCTGTATCATTCGGTCCATCTGAGCTTAATCCACACATATATATACATATACATCAGTCATACACTTATTCCCACAATATACTTAAAAACTCGTTACCAAAGTGCAAAACAAAATCAAATTAAAACACAATAGGTATTCTTTCTTCGCCTTCAGAAGGCAGAGGAAAGAGACATTCTTCATGTTGTCAAACCTACGTTCATAGCAGCCAAAAGGTTAAAATGGAAGCTGAGTAAGGTGCTTTAGCTTGTGCCTTCCTGGTGCTGAGAGGGAGGGGGTGATTCTGTGCTTTAACACGGATCTCAGGCCAAGTCCGATTCTTTCTCAAAGTCTGGTTTTACAACTAAACTAGGCATTGATCTGCGTTTATGAAGAACTTTTAGCTACAGCACGTTCTGCAGGAAGGCGGATTAGAAGAGGAGGTCGGGTCAGGGGGCGGGGGAGCTCAGGGCGACAGGTTGTTGGCCAGCTCAATGAGGGCCAGGGCGCCGTGGAGACGCTCTCTCTGCTCCTGAAGGCGCCGCTTGGCCGCCCCGCCCTGGTTACCCTTCTCCTCCTCCATGGCCTCCGGCTCCTCTCCGTTCTCCTCGTCAGAGTGGAGGAACTCCATGGGATCCTGCTGCTCCTGGTCCTCCGCGCTCGCCTTGCCCTGCGGCTTCATCTTGGTGGTTGTAGGAGCACGCTGCTCACGGGTCTGCCAGTACCTGGAGGATTAAGGAGGATGTTATAATCTAAATGTGGCAGAGCATCTGCACAGTTGATAGGTTTTGATACAGGCTGCTGCCCAGGGCGACACAAACTCTGTGGACGGCACAAACACAAACAAAATCCAATCTGTTTGTTGCATCTTGAATAGCTTTTCTGTTGCTTATTTGCGCGTCAATGGAAAATGGATGCTCACAGTGTAAACACATTAGCAGCATCTTATTCAGCACAATTGTAAAGACTTTTTTGGTGGTCCTGAACCAAATACTTTGTTTTGATGACAAATTCTTGAAAAGCAATTAAAAAAAAAATAAAAAATTCGAGTGGCCTGCCCAGGACATGATTTATGCAAAAAAAAAACAAAAAAAAACAACCACTGCTATGAATGTTTTTTTTTTTTGTTTGTTTGTTTAAACCTACAATAATGATAAAGTTATACATTGCCCTGGACAAAAACAGCCAGAAGCCATTTCAATACCATATCCAAAACTTATTGAACTAAAACGTGTTTTTTTGATTCCAATAAATAAACATGTACCAACAGAAAGCCACTTTGACTGATTTTTAATCCACCATTTAAAAAAAAAACCAGAGTAAGAATCAAAATCAACATGAAGTGTTTTCAGATTCAAATTCAAACTGCAAATTTCTAAAATCCACCAATACTTTGATCCTCCAATAAATCTACATACAACAGCCTATTTTAATAGTTCAAACATTTAATATGCATTAATCAATAATGGAATCTGTCTTAGCAATAGTGTGTCAAGCAGCATTAGGTCTAGGTAACACAGCTTACCAAGCTGCATTTTCTTTAAAATGTTTTAGATTTGCTCTAAGGAAAAATCCACAGATAAGTAGGTTTTCGGCACATAATTTAGAGATACGTTCCACCGAAAAATGGGCAAATACTGAAAACGAGTCTAGTTGGAGATCCACTGTTCACAACTCAATTAAATTGTGTAAAATATGAGAGTTTTTAGAGCTATGTATCTCCATAATTAATAGAAAAACACTTGGTTACAATACAAAATAAACTCATATATCAGGGACAAGATGGCAGGACATTGGGCACCAAATCGAGGTGTGAAAGATCCAGAGTCCATTCTGTCAAGTCTGACTGGAACTGAAGTATTAACTGGATGAAAATGACTTTCAAACAGAGACTGTGTTTCAGAGCTGAATAATAAAATGCTGGGGAGTCATCTCATGATATTTGTGTTGATTAAAAATGAATTTAAGAAAATTCTTGTTTCAGAACTAAGACTACTAATAATTACTAGTGGACACAGGCAATACTTTGAGAGAGGCTATTAAGCTCCTCGAAGCAACTTTTGTGTTTTGCACCATCAGAGATGGCCAGCCTGAAACTGTCCTGTAGAGGGACTTTACTCACTTAGCCAGCCACTCTGCCACTGCCTTGTTATCCACAGACTGAGCCTTTCCCAGACCTGCCTTCGGTTCTTCTCTGTTCAGACGAGAGAAAGGATGCTTGGGGCAGTGACGGTTTGCATGGGTGAACCGACTGCCACATCCTGCATACAGAAAAAAAAAAAAAAAAGACATGAATAAACACATCTACAGCCCTATGAAAGCACTGATTTTATATGGGAAGAAGTAAAGATGGTAATAATAGTAAATAAAGTCAATCTCTGTATTAATCAGACTTGCAGTATTTACTGAGGTTGTGTTTCCAGGTACTTTCCAAGTGCCACTTAATAACACTGGAAAGTACCTAAAGGTGACTAAAAGTGAAAGTATGAAAAAGTCTGGGCTTTACTTAAATAACCTACAAATGAATGTGTTAATCTTTTTCTTCTTTTCTTTTTTTTTTAAAGTATGTCAGACTCGCCTTTCTCTGAGCAGACAAATGGCTTTTCGCCGGTGTGGAGCCGCTGGTGAGTCTTCAGCTGACCGCTCTGGACAAACGCCTTCCCGCAGTTAGGGTAGTCGCACAGATAGGGTCTCTCTCCTAGATGGGAGAAAAAGAATAAATAAATGAAGACAAAATGTTTTGCCATTTTCAGCACACATACACTTTCACTTTTACACAAGCCAAGAAATATTTCCTGGTAGAAAACCAAAGGCAGAGTTCCAAATTAAAGACTCAGATTTGTAACATGTAGGACCTTAGAGCATCTAAATGTGTTGCATTATGAAAAAGTTGCACAAATCCTAAAATAATGCTCTCCTCCTTGGCTGCTGATGCAGCATTGCAATAAAGGGAAGTTTCACAACTTTTGAGTTTGATCTAGAGCAGTGTTTCTCAATTCCGGTCCTCGGGGACCTCTGCCTGCATATTTTGGATGCGTCTCTGTTCCAGAACATCTGATTCAAATGAATGTGTAACATCCTCTGCAAGCTGCCAAATATTTGGTCAAGAAGTATGAAATGGCTAATGATGCACCAATCGGGATTTTCTCTTCACCAATAAAGATTTTTGTTGAGGTTCGACCTTTTGATTTTTCTCCCTTAAGGACTTTAGCACAAGTCAAGATGTGCTATAGGTATCTTGATAGAGATATTAATCAGTAATCCAGTAGTAAATTAAATTATTAAAAATATATTTCCCGTTTGTGAATGCATTGAGCTTTAACTTTAGCTGATATGGATCAATTTCATCCACTGGTAAACCAAATATTATGAAGCTTCTCAAATTTTGACGCCTTTAACGAATAAAGAGAAAATATTTTTTCTTTTTTTTAAGCATTTGTCCTGCTGATCATCCATCAGAGCCAGTGAAGGAAAAATTGAGATTACAGTCAAGTTAAAAAAGAAAATATGTTTTCATATTGGACTATTAATCCCCTTGCATTTATTACATCCATCAATTCACGCTACCATTTAAAACATGTTTGCGTCTGACATCTCCATCTACCAGCGCTGCATCTGTCACACCCACCTGTGTGTGTTCTCTTATGAGCCTGCAGGGACTTCTCTCTGGGGAACACCCGGTTGCAGATGTTGCATCGGATCCGGCTGGAGGAGGTCTCGCCCTCGCTTATCAGCTCCCGCACCGTGTCTGCTCGGGGCCGGCCTCTCCGGATACCATCCTGACAACCAGATAAAATCTGATTTTTAGCACGGACAACGCTGGATGAAGCTCCTTTCCGCAGAACAGTGCCATGTGATGTCCTGATTTTTCAGTCTCTTAGCCCTGGATAGGATCATCCACTGAACTATTGCTTCCAATAACAATGACATTTAACCAATTCTACTGGCTTAGCTCTCTGGTCTGTTTCTCTCCTAGACAGAGCTGATAATAGCGCTATTGATGCCTTTAACTTTGTTTGCTCTCTTTCATTCCCGTAGAAAATACTCCTGTGTTTTTGTGCTTCTGCTCTCAACCACTAGTGGTATGTCTACTCAAGTTCTTCCTGGATCTGCTGGAAGTTTCTGGCTGTTTTAATGCAGTCATTCCTTCCCCCTGTCGCCACATGCTTGTTCATATTGTTGGAAACACAGACGCATTTAGCCAAACTTCTTGGCTTTCTAGTAATTTGTAATACATGATCTACTAACTTTGACTGCGTTGTATTATAATTAGGATTCTGAACGTGGCTACATAACTATATTTGAATAGTTAATAGTTTAATTTGGACTGGTTTCTATGCATCTGCATATGAATTGAACTCGTTTGTAAAGTTGAAATTCGTTGTAATTTGGCTCCATGCAAGAAACGTAACATAATCATATGGGACAAAGTATCTTAGTCATGCAGGCTCATTAATTTTGTGAAATAGCTTAGAAGCCAAAAATGCTCAGTTAAGTATTTTTGTATACATATTATACCAGCATATATTTAATTAGTTCCATTTTCAACACCAGTCTTCAACACATAAATATTCATGAGGTTTCTGAATTTTTTTAACCTCTCAAATGCCAGTTTAAGTAGTGCCAGCATCCAAAATCTGCAGTGACACCAACTGCGATAATTTTTTTTATTTTTATCTTAGCAACATTTTAGACGTTGTTAAAGATGTCATTCTATTTCAGTCCAATCCTATGAATGGGCTACAAGAAAAAGAGATTTTACCACCAGTGAATAAAATAGGAAAAATAAAAATCAAATTGCAGCAGTGTATTCAGAATATATTTAAATATTGCGTAAAAATCACAAGTTGATCCATTAAAACGTCAGAATTTACTCCAAAATACCTCGCGTTATCAACTTTATCCCCATGTGCATAAACACAGCCAACATTAAAAAAAAAGAAAAGAAAAGAGAAAACTTATTGTAACATATCAGTTATTATGTCCGTGAGTGTAAATCGTACTAGTTTTATTGTAACTCTTTCACTTCCGGTTACATTTTTTGGCGCGCGGCCTCACGTCATGTTTCAGAGCAGCTGCAGGGTTTAAAATCCAGCATGTCACACCCTAATGCGCGGGCGTTTTTTAAATGACTCTCCATCTTGTCCACATTCAAACATAAATAGTAATAATAAAAACCCCCCCACAGATTTTAACCCCTTCCTTACTGGGCTTAGGGTTCACTCACTGTCTTTAGATGCTGATTTGTGCATCTCTGAACAACACTTATGTAGTTACAAGTTGTTACTAGTTGCAATTTCCGACAACAGAGCTTTGTCAGCAATATCAAACTCTTAACAGATATACCACAAATAAAGATCTCATCTAAAACTCAGCATCATGCAGGGTTGAGGCAGATATTTAAAAACAATATGTTTACCTTGATCTGATCAGGAGACGGAGCTGTGTCCGCCTCCCTGGCTGTCTGTGACCCGGTTGGGGACGCGGCCCCGCTCGCCGAGCCCGGGCTAAGGGTTACATTGTGGGCGTTTTCCCCCCATTTCCAAGGGTAGACCATGAAGTCGCTGAAACCCGGACTTGTGGGAGTCAGAGTCTCCAGTTTCCTAGGTTTGATCGGAGTCTTGATGACAGAAACCAAAACTCTTTTGGGTGAGTCGTTGCAGAAAATGACGTGCGGATGCTTGCTGTCGGCCATTGTGAGTACAGTAATAGTACACGTGCCTAAAAACGCAAGTAAAATAGTTAAAAGTTGCTGTCTGTTTACAAAACGAGTCGATAAATAAGTCCTAAATGGCGGGTCTTCAGTCTGGGGTGAATATGTCCTTCATTTCCATAGATGTATGCAAAAAATTGTTTGTTACAGAGTATCCTAAAAATTTCCAACCAGGGAGCACAGAGTAACAGACTCTTTCGGCCGGAACGGCTCCTCTGAACTGACCGGTTGCGCCCACAAATGTGTGGTCCCGCGTTGCAAACTCCCGCCTGAGGAGTCTGCCATCCAATGTGCTGGAGAAATCTAGCCCCACGTGCCAGCGGCAGCCTATAGCAGCAACGTTCGCGTCAGCACCATTAGCCAATCAGAAAGAGAAACACTGGGGTTTGCGCAGACTAGTTTTTGGCCAATGGAATTTAAACACCTGACGCGCGCTCTTGTAAGTTGACAGCTATTTTGGCCAATGAGGATGAACAGGGCGTGCAACATAGCCAATCAGAAAGAAGAGCGGTTAACTTTATGTAGCAGATGGCTCCTTCCCGCGTTTAGGAGTCTGTTTATGTTATTACATGTTTTTTTCTACTTTAAAGGGAACGGAAAAGGCCCAGAGGCGCCAAAATGACGTAATCATTTAGGGTGGAAACAAAGGGTGCACTGTTTTAGGAGAATAGAAATCGAAACGTACAGTTATAAGGGATTTACTGGAGAGAAATGTATTTATTTTTTGGCTTTTATAAACTTTACTACTTCTGTGTTTAAAAGATGTTTGTGTCATTCTTTTTATATTAATCAATATTACAACCTTTCATAGCTCACAAGCTCATTTTCATATCAAAGGCCTCTATTGAAAAAAATAAATTAAATTGATAAAAACTCTCAAAAAGTTTCTAAAGGCCATTAAGATCTGGGGACTTTCTGGACCATGGTCAACTGAATCCCATTGCAAAGGGATGATCCTATAACATAGTAGGGCAACAACAGGACAGTTGGGTAACAACAGGATGGGAGAGCCACACTAGGATGGTTGCAGTTTCAGGTCAAACCCTTTAACGACTCAGAATAAAATCACTTTTCAAAAACTCACACTTGTAAATATCACCTAAATAACATCAAAATACCTGCAGCATTCCTTGAGGAGGATTGCTAAGAAAGTTTCAAATCAAAATGGAGAACTGGATCAGGAAGCATCACCCAGGAACACTTCCAGGGTTTCCTCCAGAAAACCTGCTGAGCCCGGTGGCTGGGTTCATCCATCAGAATGACTAGGACATTCAAACCCGTCCACCATAATAAGGTAGCAGACCATGAAGGGGATAAATAAAACCAGAAACAGTTATTAACTGATCTGGAGAGAAGCCTGAAGGTGGCACTCTGGTGTTAGACCATGGAAGAGGAAGACCTGACAGTATTAAATGGTCAAAAATGGCAGCCTAGAAACTTTATATTTTCTTTGGCAGGAGAAGATCAATAAAAAAATTCACTGCGATTAATAAAGGGATAATTTAAGATTGTTTCAAGACAGTTTAATTTGTTTTATATTTAAACTAATCTAATGACAAGTGTACTAGTGTACAATTTATTACTTTGATAGTTATGTCACAAGTCATAATTTTACAAAACACAAATAATCATTTCTACAGCTTGTGTCACATTTTATATGTAATTAAGCTGTTCACAAACACTTCTCACTTAATAATTGCCAGATAACTTGTTGTATTTGTGTGTGAGCAACTCTTCCTACAACTAATCTGTGGAATCACTGTGATGGGCTTGAATGAGGTTTACGCAACTTTATGTGTATTTAAAATGAAAATCAGACAGAGAGAAATAAGACATGACGTTTCCACTACACATGCATTTGAATAATTTACAGAATCTTTAATTGTATTATTCCAGTAATTTAAACCATGCATTAGAGGCGTAAAACAGAGAGTGATGTTTTCCAAGGGTTTATTTGTTAACTTTGATGGCATGGCTTACATCAAATGAAAGGCTAAAAAATTAAAATATGAAAAAATTACAATACAGAAATAACCAATTGCTGAAAAGTACTGTAAATATACAATATATGGATTCCGTACGTCACCAGGCCTCCATTTGCATGATTTCCTGCATCAATGCAGCTTGGCATGAATGCAAAATGGATATACTGAGTTATTAAAAGAACTAACGTTTCTTTGATAACCCCCTTCAGCTCAGTGTTAAACTGTCCGATGTCACTCATCTTTCAGCAGAAAAAAAATATCTGCTGGAAAAGAGAATGAGCATCTTCAGAAAGCTTGTCAACAGAGGGAAACCTGTGACCTGAGTAGATTTATGATGTTGGCTCTAGAAGCGCTGACTCAAGAGCCAACAGCTGCAGCTGCAGTCTGTGCTTTGTGAATAATCTAAATGGGCTTTACCTCATAATCTTCTTATAAACCATTTTTCTAACAAGGTTTTTCTTCCACTAAGCTTTCTGTTAAAATACATAGGCACATCAGTCTGTAAACAGTCTGCTCAGCAGTCACCTTTTGTTTAATAGGTAACTATTGAGTCAGCAGCCTTCCCTGTGATTGGTCACTAAAATATAACATTAAATCAGAGGTCTTATGTAATATAGTTTTCTAAAAACTAAATGTTACTACATAAATATGCTGGTATTCTAGTTTATTGAGAAGCACTTTTATTTGGATAAAAAGTTATTACAGTGCCTTGATTTTTCGAGTGTCTGACTTCACTGGTGCATATATATATATATATATATATATATATATATATATATATATATATATATATATATATATATATATATATATATATATATGTCGTTTTTTTTAACTCCACACTTCTTCCTTTAAAAGCTGATTGGTGCCGTCTGACTAAGCACAGAACAATCTACAGACTCGGACGGCGGAGAGCCATCTCTATGCAGAGCGTATTGATCAGGGAACAGGCTATTAATGAGCGCGAGGGTGTGGTGAGGCCTCCGCACGTGGAAACATTTAAAACCTGTCGATAACAGCTCGCGCTGTTTTTGTCGGCTGCTGTCCGGAGCGGACAAGTTCTGTCCGCGGTTCGCTTCTCCCGTAGCTGGGCTGGAAAACGGTACTCGCAATTTATTTATTCAACTTTTCTTTTTCAAAACTGAACCAGCTTGTTAAAGTGTTTTGTGCCCCTCTCTCACACAAATGCAGGCGGAAAAAATGCTGCAAGACGCCTTCGGGTGCGTCGTGGCGAACAGGTTCGGGGATCTTCTGGACGACGAAGCTGACCCGTTCGACCTGATCAGCGAGGTGGAGCTGGAGAAGGAGAAGAAGAAAAAGAAGAAAAAGGAGGACGAGGACAAGAAAAGCAAGCAGAAGAAACCAGGCCTGAAGGAATCTCAGAGGAACAGACGGCTGCCGGTGGCCTCAGGTGGTCCGGACCTGGTTCCAGGTGAGCCGCATCACCGCTGCAGATACCGGCGCGGTACAAACGGCTCTGTGCTGGTGTTTCTAGAGCGGATGGTGGTGTGCTGGGGCTGTGTCAGCTGTTAGCAATGCAAAGTCAGCGGAGCTGCTCGTTTGCTGTTTGGCTGTGTTTCCATTTAATCTTTTCCACAGGGTTCTGTGCAGGGGTTGCGTACATTAAACTGGTACTGCCACAGGCGGTCCAAAGTTTAAAGACCCTAAGCACAATTTGATTTTTGGGGCCCCATTGACAACACATGTTGAGCAAACGTACAAAAGTATTGCAAGCTTTTAAAAGATGCCAAGTTCATGTTAAAGATTAAGACAGTGCTTTGAAAGCTAAAATTCTGATGCAATTTGGGTCCCAAATTTACATAGAAACTGGTGAAAAGTTGTGACTCAAGTTTGTAAAAATGTCCTTATTTTTAAAAGATATAATTAGTTGTGGACATGAAATGTTCAACAAGTATCTTTGCATAATCTACTTAGCATATCCCAGGGATCAAGTTCATTGGATCTTCCACAATGGCTCAATAACTTTGGCTAAAAAACATAAAGAACCACTTCATATTTTTAAAAATCATTTAACAAATACAAACTCTAGCAGTTTCATAAAAAAATGACCAGTAATGCGGTTATTTCCCCAAATCATTTTACACAAATACCAACATGTGTCCTCAGGGCGAAAGCAGCAGGATTGTCCCCCATTAGCAAAGGAGGACAGAGACTCCAGAGCCGAGGCTCCGAGGAACAAGCAGAGAGGAGGCGCTGCAGGCCAACGGCGGCTGAGCCAAGTAGATCCGCAGGAATTTTCAGTGCCAAAGTATGTAACAATTCATAGTTTAGTTGAGTTTATCGGTTTATGCTGCAAGTTTCTAAAAAATGATTGCTCTTTTTTTTTTCTTCATTTTCGATGTGGAATTCAAGGTGTATTAATCTTTAAGTAAAAATGTATTTTCTCTACTAATTAGAAAAATGTTTATTAAGCATAAAATGCACTTCCTATTACTTTGAAATTCTGCTTTTTGTATTTATACAAGTTCTATAGGTGCTATAGACAACTTCAGACGTGGCCTGCACAGTTTGAGACGCATCGCATTGAACTGTTCTTCTGGTTTCCAGGCCATCCTATACTGAAGCCTCTGACTTCAGCAGCAGAGGGGGATTCACAGGCCGAAGAGGAGCGAGAGGAGGTGGGGGAAGAAACTCTGATAACTTTTATCTGAGAGGCAAGAGAGAATATGATCGACATGATGGAACGTAAGGCTGTATGTTCAAGATGCATTTGGCAGGTTTATGCGTTGTGGATGGTGGATCATGATCTAACGGTTGCAGAGGGATCTCGTCAGAAGAAAAGCGAGGAGGCAGAGGACCATGGAACTGGGGCAGTGCTGTGGAAGCTCCAAGGTCAGTGAACTTTAACGAAGTAAACTGTGGTACTTCAGTATGGTACATGCCTTAAATTTAATGTTGTTTTTTTTTTCTGAAGTGAAATGATGGAGGTGACAAGTGATGCTGGTACCAAAGCTGAGGAGCCACAATCAACTTTGGAGGAGGAGAATCCAACTCGGTGAGTAAACTGTGTGCCCAAGGTTTTTAAATGAATGCTAGGAGTTGTAATAAAGTGGGCTGAAGTTGTTTGGCTCCATTTAACAGAGCGCCAGATGAGGACAATGAGATGGTGGTCCAGGTTGCAATGGAGATGACCCTGGATGAGTGGAAGGCCATGCAGGAGGTGAACCGTCCCAAAGTGGAGTTCAATATCCGCAAAGCGGAGGATAAGATTCCCTCTAAAGCGAAAGTCATTCACCAGTCCAAGCACCTGGAGGTGAGAATCGAGGGATGTTTGAAACTGCACAGCCTGAGTGGAGTGTGTTTTTAATTAAACACTTGC